AAAATCAGAATTTTTCAAATTTTCGTAAATTTCATTTTCTTTTGATAATAACTCCAAAAATACTCGATATATGTAAAAAATAATATAGAACGAAATTTAAGTTTGTTGTTTAAGAAAGATTTTATTTTTTGTTTATTTTTGTAGGATAAAAATTAACCGAGATAGAAACGTTTAAAGCCTACATTTTACTGCGAGAACCATGTAACCGGGGCCCTTTAACCTTTTATCTTTAAAAAATAAGGGCTTGAAAAGATTAAATTTAATATGGCCTTATAGCCCTCGAAATTACCTTTCAAATGGTTTTTGGATGAACCTGATATCATAAAAATTAATTGAGTTATTGTAAAAAAACCAATAACATTTTTTTGGAAAACTTTTTGGAGCAGAGATTTTGTGTGCATATTAGAAAAAAAGATAGATAGTAAGAAGTAGACGTGTGGATAAGTAAATGCTTACAAAACATACATGATGAAAAAATTATTTTTTCATGATTTTCGATTTAAGGGGTGGTTGCTAAAAGGGTTAAAAAATTATTTAAAATCATAAATCATGCATATAAGTGTTGAAAAATACTTATTTTATCTAATTAAACGAGATTACTTAGGCCAGATTGCTTAAATCTGAATTTCTCCCCATTTTCAACAAAAGGGGTGGATTTCACCCCTAAAATGCAAAAAGCGCAAGTCGAGCATATGTCACTTTTGAAGTTGAGGGTAAAATATACTCAATTCCAAATTTTCATGCAAATCGGAGGTAATAAAAAGAGATCCAGCAAGATCAACATCGTGATCCGCGTGTTGCAGTTTCGACAAAACGCTTAACCACCATGAGCTTCTTACTTGTCCAATTTTACGTCCCTATCACGTAGGGTTGAGCTGCACCGTGGATTCAGTTCAGCAAGTAGATATCCATCAACGCAAATGGATCTTATTGAATATTACTGAATTCCAGTATATGTGCACTGAACCACATGTGGTGTTTGTGGTACTCCATTTTAATAAAAAAAAATAATCAAATTAAAATATTACAGGTACAATTGGAATTACGCTTGCAGTAGGGTGGAATGAGCCAAATTCAAGATCAAGAGATGATGCTGCAGCAGCAAATAAAGCAATGCAATTCTCAGTAAGTTTCTAATTTTACTGGATCCTTTTATTTTCAAACTAATCGTAGTTTCCTAATTAATCCCAATTAACAATTTTCTTGCCCTAAGGTTGGACTTTACGCTAATCCAATTTTTTCATTCGACGGCGACTATCCGAAAATTGTGAAAACAGCGGTAGCAAGTCGAAGTGCTTTGGAGGGATTTCCTTATTCACGCCTTCCGGAATTAACAGATGAAGAGAAAAAGTACATTAAAGGATCATCGGACTTCCTTGGAATCAATTACTATTCAACGTCAATGGTATCATCTAAAAAAAATGATCCCATTGGAGAAACAAGCAAGAATAAAGATATTAGTGTTTTATCATCGATTAATACTAATAACAGGGTTAGAATTTATTTTATATTATTTTAGGAGTCTGTTGCATTTTAAACAAAACACATGAAACACTTTAGAAGCGCTTTTGCTAACACTACAATAACCAGACATAACTCAATATTGTTTATCACAAAATTGTGAACGACAAAGAAAGGAATGAAGTTATTAATATATGAAAGGGAAATTCGACCGCTGGGTTGGTTCCTGAAACATTTTAATTTCAATTTTTGATGCTAAACATATAACATTGTGAATATTTTTTTTGCCTACGATCTAAAACTAATTTTTGAAACTTTGAGAACGTTTTGCAAAACCAGTGGAATTCAAGACGCCTCTAAGATCTTGAAAAATTTGCGTGACGTCAAATTTTGTTAACCATAGTGAGCTATTGTTGGTCAACTGTCAGAACATAAGAAGAAAAATGCCAGGAAACTTTTTTGCGTTCCTTCACAAGTTTGGTTACTCAAATTTTTCACTTCAAATCATTTGAATTTCCGATTGCTACTGATTTTCGATAGAATTTATCAACCCTATTGGACAACTTATTTCAACTGGAAAAAATAGTAAACTGATTTGGAATTGAACCTAGATCGTCTGCAAGACGAGAGAGTATTCAATCAATAAGTCACCTATGCCTGTAAGGGTTCCCGATGCGTTGTCATTCGTGTGTAACTCTCATTGATTTCCTTTAAATAAAATCTTTAAGGCATGCGGACATCGCAATGATATGCTTTTTCGTTATTTTTCGATTTACCTACATTAAAACTAAAATTTTCTAACAAACTTCCGGTGTCTCTGTTTTAATAATTGCAGTACTATATACAGTTTTGTGATATAATTACAAATGATAAAAAATTATTTTTCTAACCATCAGGATGCTCCATGGGGATTCAGAAAAGTATTACTGTGGCTCAATAGTCAATATAGATATCCAATGTATGTTACTGGAAATGGCTATTCGGATGAGGGTGGAATTAACGATAACCAACGAGTTAATTATTATCAGGTTTGTAATCTATATATCAATAAAAAAGTAGTTTTTTTTTATAAAAAATCGTTGAGCGTGTTATATTGGATGTGAAAGGGGTTATGACAAAAACTGAACGAATGAGGACTTCAAGAATGCTTTGCAGACCGACGAGCCAAAATTAGGGATCTTTGACACTGAGACACGGAATTATATCATACGTTTGGTAATTGAAAAAATGATGTCCGACTGTTAAAAATTGAAGATGCAATAGAGAGAGAGGATTTCTATTTAATGGAATCAGTCAGCTGCAGAGGATTTAGGGAGTTTTGGAAAGAAACTGATAGCACAGCATACTCGTTCACAAAGCTGTACGAGTAGAAAAACGGCTTCTTAGCAAAAGATTAGCGATATAGTGACCCCAAATATACTTCTAATCGTAAATTTCGCCAGAAGTAGGTATCTCAAGAAAAAGAAACGAGATGCTACAATAAAAATCACCATTTGATCAGTTCTCCGTAAAATTAGAAGACTAATTCGAACTTTCGACTCACCTACAGGACGCTACAACTTGTAAAAGTCAAAAGCGAATTTTTTAATGAAACAAGATTTGGTGTATTTACTTACTGTTCTCTGTATCTGCCCGACACTTATGTAAAATTGATATACTCTGGCAATTGACAAACTCATAACTGTGCTTTTCGTAATGTATTCGACGGTTTAAATAACAATTTGACATTCAACCCTTAATACGAGTAGTGTAATTTGCTAATGAAATTGAGAATCATCCATTTTTGGTTTATTTACGTACTTGTTCTTTTTAGACGCATCTTAGTGCCCTTCTTGATGCCCTAGGCAAAGGAGCAAATATAAAATCCTATACGGCGAGGAGTTTACTGGATAGTTTCGAATGGCTTGATGGCTATGTGTGAGTATACAATTACCTATCACCATCATAAGGTCGTCAGTTCTATGACTGGTTGGACACGTACCACCACTCTTTCCTACTCTGAGCTAATCTTGACATTTCCCTAAAACTAGAGCAACCCACATCCTTAACTATTTGCGAACAGTAATCTAATCTAGGTCTACCCCTCGTAACTCCCGATTCTGCCTCTAATATGTCTCTGACCAGTTCATGCCTGAGAAAGTGTTCTATTAACTTATCCCGCCTATTTATTTTGACTTCCATAGAGTCATCTGTTTTCCTATTCTTTCTAATACCCCTTTATGTTTAATCTTCTCTATTCACGGTATTCTCAACATTCGCCTGTAACACCACATTTCGAACGCTTCTATAACCTTTTCCTTTCCGCCGCGCCCACTGTCCATGTTTCGCACCCGTACAATGCCGCGCTCCAAACATACACCTCTAACAATCTTTTTCGAATTTCTAAATTAATCACCTTTCGCGAGAATAGAAGTGACTTCTTTTTATTGACGACTCGACCCTAAGGTGTAGATTAATACTGTATCAGAAAAAATACTTTTTTATTCTTAAATATATCAGCAAAAATAAAATTGTGTAATTCAAATGAAAAAACAACGTGTAATTATACAACACGCTACTACAGTGAAACTTCTTCAAACACACAAACATACCGGGATAGGGGTTAAGGAATTGGTATTATTTGTACACTATGCTTCGCACGGGTGCAATGCTGATAGTAAATATATTATAGAATGTCTTTATATACAACAATCACAGCTTTTTGTTATTAGACAATACAAACCGGCAGGTACCACCGCAACCGCTATGTCCCTGCATTTTAAGTCTGTAATATCTTTGAAAATATTCATTTAAATTACATGCTGCGAAGCGCCGTATTGATTTATATTAAATGTACAATGTATTTAAAAGTACTTAATTTGATAAGGATTAATGCTGTATTGCTTAAAATCGCTTCGTAAATAAGTCATTATTTCTCGTAAAAAGTAAAGGATAAAAATTGTTATTGTGGGTTATCCCTACGAGATACACATATACCATCACGGACTTTTTTGTAGACCTTTTTAAGGTGTACAATACTGTAGTATATTATTTTGATCTATCTCGTTGGGTTCAGCCACCGTTTGCAATGTAACCGCCAAAAAATGTGTTTATTTACGACATCACATTACAAACCTCTAAAATCAGTGTTTCTCTATTATATTATGCATGTATTATAAATATAAATCTTCCTCTTGAATTACTCTATCTATTCAAAAAAAAAACCGTCTAAAAACCTAGGCATATATAGGGACAGGCAGCGGGGGAAATGGGTTGCATGATTTCGTTACATAGCAAACACTTCAAAAAAGACTTGACGATTCGATATTTTGTTATTTTTTTGCTGGTGCTTTCAATATAAAGTTGAATAATTAAAAATATAAAATCGTCACTCTGCTGAACATAATATTTGCTGTTACAGAAATCGGTTTGGTATCTATTCTGTCAACATGTCAGATCCTGCACGTCCCCGAACTGTTAAGAAATCTGGACAGTTTATCAAAAGTGTGATTGCTACCAGAAAAATTGGAAAAGCATATTCTAGAGTTGGTAGTGATCGTAGCATCAGTTTTTAACTCTTATAGGAAACAATTTGAAAGTAAATCAATTTCACTTTGTTTTGTTACATATCATTTGTAACATAATAAAGCATGAGAACTCAATAAATATTGTTTGTTATTCAATTTAGCGTATTATTTATAAAAACCTGGATCTTAAAGGTAGTAAAATTGAAGGTGTTTCCACTGAGCATTGCAAGACTGGAGAAACGTGGTGAGGCCTGTTATCCATAAGGTAGGATAAAAGCCATAAATATTAAGTAATGGGTGAAGGTGAATAAACATAGAAACATGAAAAAATAAATTTTATTGCTGGTGAGTGGGCAGTTCCACCAACCCAAATCAGGGAGTAGGGCGGAAGATACTTCATCGTTTGTTACGTAGGACGAAATTAAAACAGTAGAAGAGTGGAACACTACATCAGAAACATTACTGCCCTCTCAGATGCTAAGGTATGTATATTTGAAGTACAAGGATGCATTGGGGAGAGGATGTCTATTTAATGGAATCTGTCAGCTGCAAAGGATTTAGGGAGTTTTGGAAAGAAAACGATAGCACAGCATACCCGTTCATAAAGCTGTACCAATTGGAAAACGGCTCCTTAGCAAAGGATTAGCAGTATAATGGCCCTATATTGGAAGTATAAGATCTCTTCGTTTAGAATATCGTCCGCAACCTAAAACACAATTTAAAAAACACTAGCTTCGATCTGCGACTTCCTCTGCGTTTCATTATTTCTACCGGTTTACCATAAATACAATTAGGAATTGTAACTAATGAACAATTACGGAAAAATTCCCCAAATTACTCCTGATAGCTCTCTGTTCATGTCTGTAAAGAACTAGTTATCAACGGCTGACCTATCACCATCTCTTCCGCCTTCTCTAGCCATTTTGACATCCCTGGCAAATTTTGGAGCGTTAGGGCTATTCATTATCCTAAAGGGGGATAGGCTAGGGGACCTATTCGACACGCTGCTCTTGATCTCAACGCGAACAATTTTGAGAACACGATCGAGGTTATTAGTCTAGGGAGTTCCTACACGTCCGCGAATGATCTAGTTCTCATAAAATGTAACACGGCAAGTATTCCCGGACGTGTTCACCTCAGTTTTTTCTTCATTATCCTCTGGGAAGTGTTCGAAAATTATCGCCGCAGCACATAACGAGATCAATAATCCAAAACGAAGCCCTCATTTAATCATATGAAGACCTAGATTCTTCTACCCTTCCTTCCTGATCTACTAAACTGGCTTGGATTCTTATCATTGACTCCCCTGTACCAAGACTTGAAGCTAATTCTTCTCAAGGACCACCTTCTTCGTTAGTTGTTGGATTCCCTTCAGAATCAGAAGGTAGTGTTTCATAATAATGCGACGCATCATAAGGAAGTTGGCGAAGAAGACTGCACTTTCAAGTCTTAATCCTTTTTTTATGTAAAAACGGGGATCTTAGTTTTCTTTGTTTCAGGAAGATGAATCTTCAAACCTCCCTTAAGAGGTTAAAGAACTTTGCTTCTTCTCAGAATTCGGCCACTCTGTCTAATCCTTCTTTAGTCTAATTTAACATTAAATTGACATTGTTAGTTGAAGAATCCGCAAATGATTACTTCCGGCATAAACGTTATTTCTTCTTGAAAACCCCCTTTGGGCATTTCTTTCCCACCAGCCAGTAATGCTGGTGGGCGGGCAGTCCCTCCGGACTACGCCGCAAGGTAGGACGGAAGGCCTTCTTCTGCCTCTTGTCAGAAATTGTGGGAACGGGTGGATGGTGGTTCGGGTGAGAAAGATGAGGCGGACAAAATGAAGACAGAAAAGAATGAAAGATTATCTGTGGAATATTACTGCCTCAGCATTTGCCTAAGTGGTCCACACAAACTTGGACCAAGGCAGACGGACCTGGAATCGAATCGTTGTCCTCCCAAATGTTCAGCAGTGGACTAAACTTCTAGGCTTTTTTAGGTTTTTTTTCCAAACAACCAACATTCAACATTAGATGATAATGTAAGATTCGGGGAATAGCACACATCTGTACAGTTCATTTATTAGGTACTTTTTCTAAATTTTAACTAGATAATATAATATGCTTTTTTTATTTTATAAGTAGCTCCAAATTTTCACCGATATTTAATAACATTTAACAATTAATTCATAAAATACATTTAAAATGCCAAATTGTGAAATACACTGCATTCGCTATTTTTTATTTATTAATCTTCCGGGAATCAGCTACACGAAAAAGCTTTAAAGCATGAAAATTAATTATTTTTAATGAAAAATGCCTCTATCACATACAGTCATTCAAATTTTATAGCATATATATTGAAATGCATGAATATATATTGGAACATTTAATTTACCTGCAATAATTTTTATTAGTATTTATGAAATATTTAGTACAACTCAAAAGGGCTCTACCCTTTGGATAGTAATTTAATTAAACTTTTTTAAGTAATTTGTAGTTCAACATCAATATAACAAGATACTAAAAACTAAAATACTTCTTATTCGAAAATAAGTGTGCTAATGTATACCATTGTTAGGCACTAAAAGGAAGGTAAGTTTAGTAAATCTTAATTTTCTACATATTTAAAACCAATTTTAATAAATAACCTTTTCGCAAAAATAACTGTCATAATTAACTGTTGCACCATTGCTTCGACTGGTCGAAATTCACTTCTGTGAATAATTTGTTTAATTTACAATCTTTAAAGGAATTGTTTGTAAATAGGTATGCAACACATCGTACACTTCAGCATAAGAAATTGCTGATACTAACTACGTAATACTACTTTGCCGTGTGCTGACAGCACTCATAATTTCTTTTATATATAATATTACNGTAGTATTAAACATCTAGTCATCATCGTGATAAGGTCGTCAGACCCAAGACTGGTTGGACACGCACCTCCACTTTTTCCTATCCTTAGCAAATTTTCGCATTTCCCTGAAACTAGAACATCCAACATCCTTAACTATTTGTGAACAGTAATCTGTGGCGGACAATTGTATATATTTTTTGTAGATATTTCTTAAGCATTCTTTTTCATTATTTTACTTCAAATTCATTTCATTTCAAATATTATTTCAATTCATTTCAATTTCTTATCTTGTACGTACTTTGGTTTCCTTTCAATATAAACTCTATTGTTCTCTCAATCACTTTTACCTAGAATTCCTGCATGCACTCCCATACTAATATCTGGTTTAACCCATAATTGCTTTCTCTTGAACTGCCAAATTCTACGTATTCCTACAAACCAGTGTCTTCACCCTCTCTCTCACTACTTTTTCTTCTAGAACATTCTATCAAATTTACTAACAACCCTGTCCTATAAATACTCCAAAAATTTCATATCTTGACATCTCCCGTCTACTTCTACTACCGTTCGTAAGTGCTTCTATTATCTGTTTCATTTTTATTGTTGCCTTTGTTATTGTTGTTGTTGTATTATCTTGTTCTTTTTGTCACTTTGTTCTCGTTTGTTTGTGTCACTCCTTGTGCCTTTTTGTTGTTTGTGTTTTCGCTTTGTTCTTGTATATAAATTGTTATTCGTTATTGTTAGTGTTTCCTTAGNAAATTTTATCTGAAAACAATTGCTTAACTGTAACAGCGTAGGTATTAAAGAAATTTTTAGAGACGTTAAATTAATATAAATAAGTAACAAAAACAGTTGGATTTTACAAATAAATAGCAAAAACAAATTTATAACTGCATCTCTCTGTTACTCGCACATGCGTTAATAATTTCTACAGGAAAGTATTGAATCGATTTCCTTGTAAATGTAAATGATTTTTCAATGGGAACAGTTTTATCATAGGTAACTTTAGAAGAAAATTATCAGAGACATGACAATTTTTAGGTGTGGAACTCTCTTGGGTGAGAGGAATCACTTTGGTGACATTCGTTTGTCTGTTTCTTGGTTTCGGGATCATAAATATGAAGCCAGGTTTTATTCTCCTTCAATAACCTAGTCAAAAAGTTCTTTGCAGTTTTAAAACAGATCAAAGTGCCATTGGATGCTTCTTTTTTTTTGGTAAGTACTCCAAAGTTTTGGCGTATATTTTTAATGCTAGCGCATGATCAGTAGTGCGATAACTCGCTCCTTGAAAATGTTTAATATCTGATCAATTTTTTTTTGCGGATACAGGCCCTCAACAATCAGCGCTTGAACAGTATCATATGGTTAATACCATAACTATGAAACACTTTGACATTTAATAGGGGTTAACATCAAATATTAATGGTTGCTGCTCGGTTGTGGTTAATTGAAGAGCACAAGCTGAGAAACTTATCTTCAACTCTTAAATAGCTAGTTTTTGGAGCTTGCTGTACAAAGAATATTTACTCCCAACGATTTCAATATCTCAGTGTGGCGACCCGCCTATCACGCACCAGTTCGCGCAACACACCCCACATGTCTAAGGCATAGAGCACGTCGTCAGCCTTACTGATGACTCTAGGCTCTAGGCGTGCTCTCGAAATGAAACATCTTTTCTCTCTTACATATTAAGTTCCCAAACGTTCTAGAACGTTTTCGACTATTTCAGTTCAGTTTACTCTAGTAAATTCTAGCTGAGGATAATTACTCTAAAGACGTCCGAGAACATTATTATTTTATTTATATATGTTGATTTCAATTTCAATTCAAGGGAACAAAACCAGAGACGTTTTAATACTCTCTTATACAAGGTGTCTAAAAAGAGTAGAGAGTATTTGTATCTGCGCTGTCCATGTAATGGCGCGGTTCGGAAAGGTGCCGTAGGGATAGGTTGTTTTACTGCTTTTTGCAGATTTAATTATAATTGAAGTGTTCCTGGGAAACCGTCGTGCTTTTGGCGTACGCATCTATTATCGCAATGGTGATCCGATGATCATAGCTTAACGATTACATGGTGAAAAATTCAATGTACGAAGGACGATACCATCAAAAAATGGATTGGAATGTTCGAGAATACTGGTTCGACTGCCAAAAATTCACAATCCATGTCACTCACGCTCTGTTCGAACCCAACAAACGATTGAAGAAATGAGAGTGTCAGTGAGTGAAAATCCGTCTCAATCAGTTCGCAAACGCAGTCAAGAACTTGACATTAAAAAATCGTCGTTACAGAAGATTCTGAAGCG